ATTAAATAATGACATTCTATACATGTCACAAAAAATTGTATAACGATAATTTAAAACTATCATGATATATTTAATAATGACATTTATTTAGAATCATGAAAAATTGTATAATGACAACTTTCGTGTTTTAAACAAGAGTTTAGAAATGTGAATAGAAGTTCAACAATGACATTTTTTAATTGTCATTAAACGATTTTCAATACTTTTTTTTTTGTCACGAAACCTATTTTATTGACATTTAAAAATGTAATTTTTTCATTATAAATCTATCATGAAATGTTTTAAAAAATCGATTTTCTATAATTGTACCTAGTACCTGTCAATTGTGACGTATTTTATATACAAAAGCATATCTATCAGTATAGTAACCTCATACAAATACAAAGTATTTATACATATAGTAAATTATATATACATAAACTAAATATTTATACATAACATAAACAAATTATATTCAAATGTATATCAACCCCGAACATAAACAAATTAAACTATATTCCAAGTAACTGCTAACCCAACAAAAAAATGGTTCAAACACCATTCTTCACTTCTTAGCTCGCCATGTTTCTGCATACTCTTCTTACAAAACCTAAGCAATTGTACAAACCTCAAATCTTAACATTATCATGATTTCATATTCGAATTTAATTACCCATGATTTCAAATTGAAAATATACCCACGATTTTCTGCAAGTTTCATTACTCACGATAAGTATTGATGAATCACATATACTTATATAAACTACCCACTTAATACTTATTTATAGATATAAAATACATCTAGGTATAATCAATAACTATTGAAGACTCAATCTCATAAAAACTTATATAGTGTTATATCAAACCACAATTAACAAACAAAACTAAAAAAACTACTCTATCAATTTAGACATCCTAGCAAATGCTTGATTATAAGATACACCTATATGATAAATATAAAATATATCTGTCTATTGAGTTCTTATAACTACCCACTTAGTACTTATTTGTAGATATAAACTATATCTGCATATAAAAAAATGAGTATCGAATTCACGCCTTAATTTTACACCACTTAAATTATTTATCGATTCTTTGACAATATGGACTCTGAAAAAACTGAATTGCTCGATGATGATAACTAATTAAACTATATAGTACAAAAAATTGTTCATCTAAAGGTAATTTTTTCATTTAAAGGTAACTAGTTAAACTAGATATAAAATATATCTGCATATAAAAAGAAAAAGAACTAGTTAAATAGTACAAAACTAGTTCATCTAAAGGAATGAGGTTTCGAAAGGAAGTATTGTTCAAAACCGAAATCGAAAACTTTACAGGAACGAGATTAAATAGTAGAAAACTAGTTCATCAAATGGAATGTGTACCATCCTAAAGATATATGGGTATGGGAAATATATCATGGTGAGAAGAAGACGAAACAAACCTCGACTTTAGAATGGTGAGAAGCTTGACAGGTGGCCGCGACGAGAACAGAGTAAACGGTCGGAAAAATGGTGTTTGTGGAAGATGAAGAAACCGTCGGATAAAGGGATTTGAAATCTAACCTCCAAAATCAACCATTTTTAATTTGATTAATTTATTAATATTTAGGTGTAAATAAAGAAGGATATATTGGTAAATTTTTCATGGGTATCATCTTAAAGGAGGTTATTTTATGATAAAAGTGTAAATTTTGTAGACTGGATCATTTTATGTAATTATAATCTCTAAAAGTCACTATCAATGTACTAATCTCATAATGTCTTTGATGAGCTGTTTTGGAAACTTATTTTCATAAATGTCCAATTTTCACAAATTTTATGGTCTTAGATTTCTAGATTTAAATTTTTGTTCGAATGCCAAATTTGTCCTTATTTATGGCATTTTATATTTATTATAATTAGTCTTTTATTTAAATGCAAAATATTAATGTTCCAAATTTGATTTTGTAAACATTAAATTATCGTGGGACCTAAATCAATTATTCTCATGATCCCCTAATTTACTCCTTAATATATTCGACTAAAGAATGAAATTTATTACAAAATATTCAATTATTCTCATAATTCTCAAATTTACTCCTTAATATATTCCAGTAAAGACTGAAATTTATTACAAAATATTTTTTCATTTGATTCCAATTTTTGGCTAAATTCCAATACTATAACCATTAAAACATACACTTAATTATATGGAGATATAAACTATATATACGGTTACTTTTTCATTTATATGGAAATATAAATTATATCCGACTATAAACTTAAGCAATATACATTTAACAAGGTGATATAAACTATAGCCATTATAACATACACTTATATGGAAATATAACCTATATCAGGCTATAAAGTATATACGACTATATCCACCCTCTACAATTAACAAATAGAGCAAATAACCTACATAATCAAATATATACGACATTACCATCTAATACTTTTTAAATACCAAAAAATCGACCACCAAAAAACAAAAATAAAAAAGCAAACCTAGAAACAATAATAAAAAGCGAGTGAATTGGAACCAGGTTGCAGAAGACGGTAACTACAAAAAACGGAGAACACTAAGAAGACGAGGAGACGGCATATGAGGAACAATGGTGAAAAGTGAGAGAAAATGAAAGACGAACAAAGAGGAAGAAATAACTAAAAATTAGGCAAGTTTTTTTTATGGGGTGGAAAGGTGCATAAATTTAGGGATTTAAAATGTAAACTCCAAATCWAMYWWTTTTYCMWTTTWAAWTT